GGTGGGGTGTTTGCTCCTCTTCTCCTCCTCCTTTTCCCCAGCCAGCTCCTCAGGGCTGGCCCCCGGTTCGCCATTCCTCGAAAAGAGCCTTCGAGTTGCCCAAAAGCGGGAGCCCCGCCCCCCTCCGGGCCCCCGGACTGGAGGGGTACCCCAGGCAGGAGGACGTGTACCGGCTCCCGGACCCCTCCACCCTCTCTCTCTCCTCTCTCTTTCCGCCAAGCCTGGCTGCCAAGGAGCCTGTCGCTGCTTGCACAGCCCGCTTGGCTTTCTTGGAGAAACCCTGGGGTTTAAAGTCATGAATCCGCTGCTGAGGAGCGGAGCTTGGAGCAGCACAACTTCTGTGAGCTGCTGTTGCACCCTGCCTACTTGTGTCCCTGTGGCAAGCGAGCCTGTCCCAAATCAAAGAGCTCGGTTTCTGCAAGGAGCTGCAGTTTGTTTTCCTCATTCAGCCGAGGATAATGTAGATCTGTATCGGTATTTAGGCTCCTAAGCCCTTTGGTGCTGGAAATCAGACACTTGAGCATCTTTTGTGGCTTCAACAATTCTCTTTTCCTGTTATCCCTCATCCAGCAGGCTCTGAGCCTCCCCTGTTCCTCCTTGGAGGATTAACTTCTGCACAGCTCTTTCAGCCGTGCTAGTTGGCTGTCCGAAGTTGCATGTTACCCTTCTCACCATATGGAAAGATGAAAAAAAAGTCCCAAAGAAAAGGAAAAGGAGTGGGATATTTCCTTCCCTCTGCCTTCATGCGACCTGAACCTCAATGCTGCCCCTGGGGCTGTTTGTGTGGCTGGGGTAGGAAAGCTGGGCTTGGTGCCAGCACCAGAGCAGCAGGTAACGGTGCACACTGGGCAGGAGAGAGGTCTTCTAGGTCTCAGCAGACCTTTGCTGTGCTCTGCCTTGCCACTGAGAAGGCTTTGTGCTGGCCTGCGAAGCAGATCTGGTTTCTCAAGTGGACATAGATAACGCTGGTTGAGTTGATGCCCAGGTGGGAAGAGCTCCCTGCTCCTACCTGCTCCATCACAGCTTGTAGGGCTTAATGGAGCAGCTTCACCACTGCTCAGAGGGTTTATGGTCCATTGACTTCAAGGAGTCCCTCTTGCTTTATTTGGTTGACAGAGGGATTGCCTTGTTGCTATGGATTTCCAGGGCTCCACATGGATGTGTGGAAGATGTGCTGCTGTGATTCCTTCAGCTCCACTACCTGTAGCCAAGGTGCTCCATGGGTCGGTGCCCTTGAGAGCTTCAGTTTGGTCACCAATGCTTGGGGCACGAAATGGTTCCCCAGGGAAACCCTCCTTCTCCAACCCTGGTCTGAGAGAGCATGTTCCAGGCTGTGAAAGCTCTTCATCCTCAGAGTTTCCCATTCTCAGAGGTAGGGAAAAAGAGATGATGTGTGACAGGTAGGGGCATTTAAGAGTGCTTCAGGGATGAAGATGACATCTTCCCTAGACTCCCTGCTAAATATGCTCCTAACTCCTTTATGCACCACTGCCTTCTGCCTGTGTAGACACTCAAGATCTCTCTGGCCCAATTTGGACGTAAAATGGCTTCTGATGTATCTGAGTCCCATTTGTCAGACCACTGAACTATTTGCAGGATCCTACCCCGACTCCTGTTCTCCCATCCCTTCTCACGCCTTTTACTCTGTGCTCCTCCATCATTCCTCAGATCTTCTCATTCCTTTTATGCTCCTAGCCCTGGAGAATGCTTCTCTGCAAGCCTCCAGCCTCTCGGAGCAGGAGGAGGAGGAAGAAGACATGGTCTGGGAGAGGATTGAGAGCGCACGGCACCAGCTGACCCGCTCCCTGAACCCCGCCAAGCTCACCCCCTACCTGCGCCAGTGCCGCGTGATAGACGAGCAGGATGAGGAGGAGGTGCTCAATTCCTGCAGATTCCCTTGCAAAAGCAACCAGACAGGTGGGAGACAGCACGAAGATGGGGCTGGTTTGTGGGGACAGCTTGGTTTTTGACACGCAGTGGACGGTGCCCAATGTGTGGGGGTGCAGCCTCCTGCTCCCGCCCGCTGTGGTGCTACCCTGGCGATGGTCTCTGAGGTGCCCTACAGCCAAACCAACCCCTGAGGGCCTCCCCCTGCCTGCACACAGAGCAGGGCAGTGCTCCCATTCTCTCCTCCAGCCACTACTCTTCCTGGAGGTGGAAGCAGAACCACTGGAGATACTGTTGCGTATCACAAAGCTGGTCTATACCGTTTTCTGTCTGGTTGGTGGGGAATTAGAATCATAGAATCATAGAATCATTTAGGTTGGCAGGGACCTTCAAGATCATCAAGTCCAACCATTGCGCCATTAAGGTTCTAAAGTCCTCTGCTAAAACAGATCAGAATCTGTCAGGGGTGGAAGGGACCAAAAGGGTAACCCAGTTCCAACCCCTCTGCCATGAGCAGGGACACCTCTCACTAGATCAGGCTGCCCAGAGCCTCATCCAGCCTGGCCTTAAAGACCCCCAAGGATGGGGCCTCAACCACCTCCCTGGGCAACCCATCCCAGGGTCTCACCACTCTCATGGGGAAGAACTTCTTCCTCACATCCAGCCTGAATCTGCCCGCTTCCAGCTTTGCCCCATACCCTGTAGTTCTGTTGTTACTCGATATCCTAAAAAGTCCCTCCCCAGCTTTCTTGTAGGCCCCCCTAAATCTTAGATCTTTCTCTCTTCTTCCAGGTTACCTGATGGACATCCTCCGGCGCCGTGGGAAACGAGGCTGTGAAGCCTTCCTGGAGTCTTTAGAGTTCTACTACCCAGAGCAGTACACACGGCTGACAGGGAAGGAGCCAGCCCAGCGCTGCTCGATGATCCTAGGTAGGGGCAGGTGCCCTGTCCCCTCTTCAGCTGCTACTTGCGTGGGAAGGGCCAGGAATCTCTGTGTGTGCATGCCCAAAAACCTGGCTCACAGCACCTATGTGCAAGGAACCTTCACAGCTCTCTGTTCTGGATCTGGAAAGGAAGGGGACATAAGTATCTGTGTGATGGACCACAGTGCTGTAGCCCTGAGAGTTCTTGGGCTGCAGACCCACAGCAGAGCTTGGCACCCCTTGGTGGAAGCTGAGCATTGGGTGTTTTTTTTTTTTTTTTTGAGCAATGGCTGTCTCAGCACCCAGGCCCTGATTTTTCCTTGTCTCCCTGCAGATGAGGAAGGCCCTGAGGGACTAACTCAGTTCCTGATGATGGAGGTGAAGAAGGTGAGGGCTCAGCGGAAAGAACACCTGCTGAAGGAACACCAGCTCCAGGTGAAAAACCAGGCGCTGGAGCAAGAGCAGGCTCGGCTGGAGCAGCAGCTGCAGGAGCTCCTGAAGGTGCAGGAACGTTACCAGAGGCTGAGAGAGGAGTGGGACTCCAACAGCGTGGAGCTGCTGAGGCTGAAGGATGAGAACTACATGATGGCCATGCGCTACGCCCAGCTCTGCGAGGAGAAGAACATGGCTGTGCTGAGGAGCAGGGACCTGCAGCTGGTGGTATGGCCCCAGGGAGTGAGAGGGTTGGTGGTGGGAGGTGGTGGTGGGGTCTGACAGCTCAGGGGGGTGCACAGAGATGACCACATGTGGTGGCCTGCGTGAGGGAGCTGCTGGCAGGTGAGATGTGCAGCGGGTGCTCTTGAGGGGGAACGTGCCCTGCAGAGCGGCCAAGTCATGGGCACAGCAGAGGAGGCAGCTGGAGATCCATCACCAGCTCCTGCCATGGCTGCAGATCCATCACCTAGGGGAGCCAGGACCAATTCCTCAGAGGCTGATGCTTTCCCTGGCATCTCTTGGCTCTCAGCCTGGTGGTCGGTGCCGCAAGGTGCCCTGTCCTCTCCTTGCCCACTGCCCTGTGCTGCCAGCTCTGCTGCTGGGTGGCAGTACTGTGCCCGGGCAGCCTAGGCAGCCGATTCCCTCAAGCTGCCTGTTTTTATTTACTCCTTTTCCAGCAAAGTGCCTGCATTTTCCTCCTCCTAGTGCTGGTGGGGGCTGTGCAGCTGCCCGAGCCAGGGCGCTGGGTGTGTGCGTGCTGCCTGGCACTGCCCAGCCTGCCCTGCAGCTCACAGGAGGGTTTTGGCCCAGACTCCATCCCCCTCCTGCCGCTCCCCACCGCCTCCTCGTCTCTCTCGCGTGACGTTTGGGAGACTCATGCCCTGCATACCTGAGGAAATTCATGACTCTGAGCTCCAGCTGCCAAGCTCTCACCTCCAGCAAACACGCACCCGTTTCCTGCCTGGGCAAGGACAGCTCTGCCTTGAATCTATTAATAATCCAGTTTCCTCAGTGCCCTGCTGCCTCCTGGCATTTCCCCTGCCAGTCTGGGCCTGGACCTCTCACACAGCCCCACGGTTTCCTTGCATTCCACATTCAGCTCTGCCAGCACCAGGATTCTCCCCTATGTTTTATCTGGTTTTATCTTCCCTGGGTCTCCACTCAGGGAGGTGAATTGCTTGTGGGTGACTGTGGGGTGAAGAAATCCCCTAGAAGGAGGAAGCCTTTGAGATGCTCACAGCTCCTGTCCCTGGCAGCACACCAGAGTTCCTTGGTCCACCTGTGGTCAAAGCCACACTGGGGATGCCCCAAGGCTGCAAGAAAGTTGTTGCACTGGGAGAGGATCCCGAGTGTGATTTTGCAAGTGCCTCTTCCTCCTTTGCCCTGCGGGGGAAAAGCTTTTGTGTGCAGCTACCTGTGCCCAACGGCAGAGCAGGCAGAGCTCTGGGTCAGCCTGGGTTTCTTCCCTGGCTTGCAGGTGGACCAGCTGAAGTGCAAAGTGACCAGCCTGGAAGAGGAGAGCAGCCTGCTGCGGAAACAGGCGTCTGTGCCACCCCAACGAGAGCCAGAGGAGAGGAGCCACCCTGACCCTGTGTCTGAGCTGTGGGCTGAGAACCAGAGGCTCACGGCATCGCTGCAGGAGCTGCAGGGCATGCTGAAGGTACCTGCTGGCTCCATCCCACCTCCTGCCCTGGGGCACCTCCAGCCTTGGTGACACGGGAGCTGGAAAGATGGAGGAAATCACTCTCCCGGGCTGATGTGTCCCTTCCTCTGAGGGTGTTGCTTGGCTTTGGTGGCTGCTGTGGCTCCTGGGTTTGGGTAGTCGTGGGTCCTTGTTTCCAGCTCTGTGATGGCACCTAGATGTGCTCACCAAGCATGACTCTGTGCCTTGGAGTGCCCAGTAGATAGGTGTAGGAGCGATGATGGCACTTGTGCCAGACTGCTTGCCAACATCAAGCTTGGTGCTTGTGGTGCACCAGCAGCTAGGACGCCTCTGAGATGCTCACAGCTGCTGTGGTGAGGTGACAGTACCCTCTTGCCTCCAGACGTCCGGCGAGGGCCCTGTGCCAGGCTCTGAACAGATCCTGCTGGACATCCTGGAGCACGACTGGAAGGAAGCCCAAGATGACCGGCAGGATCTTTGCCAGAAGCTCAACTCCCTACAGAACGAGCTGCAGTGGGCTGAAGAGCTAAGGGACAAGGTAGCTCATCCATCACTGCTCCCATCCCACACACCAAGCAGGGCCTGGAAGATGGGGAGGCAGGGAGGGGGCTGGGAAGCCACAGGAGTCACTTCTAAGGGGGCTAATGCTTGGTGTTGCCAGTACCTTCAGGAGGTGGAAGATCTACAGCTGAAGTTCAGGACGCTGCAGAAGGACTGTGATCTCTACAAGCATCGTATGAACACGGTGCTGCTGCAGCTGGAGGAGATTGAGAAAGAACGGGACCAGGTAGAACACTCCTCCCCCTGGCTCTCCACCTCTCACAGGACCAGGATTTCTATCTCTGCTCTTGACACCCCCTCTTTGCCTGTGGGGTCTTCTCCATCCATACCAGCGTGAGAGGGGGGATTGGTGGTGCAGTTCTCTGCCTCTTCCCACTCTCAGCCTGGCTCTTGCAGGCCATCCAGAGCCGTGATGGGGTGCAGCTCCAGTACTCCCAGAGCCTGATCGAGAAGGACCAGTACCGCAAGCGTGTGAGGGCCCTGGAGGAGGAGAGGGACGAGCTCCTGAGCAAGCTGAGCCAGGCAGAGGGGCTGAACAGCTCCCTGGAGGCACAGCTCCAGAGGGGCCAAGGCGCCCGCAGCCTGAGCAAGGTGAGGATGGCTGGGGAAAAAAAGGGGGAACAGAAGGCAGAGGGCTCAGGGTTGATTTCTGTTGGGGTGCAATGATGGAGTTCCTTCTCTTCCAGATGTGCAGCTCTTCCTACTCCCTCTGCTCCAACCTCAGCAGCACCTGGAGCCTCATAGACAACCCTCCTGGGCTTGTGGATGCTCCGGGGATTTCTGTTATCCCGTTCCTGGGGGATTCAGCTGTTCAGAGCATGGTGAGTGCTTGCCCACGAGAGGCCCTCAGCCAAGGGCAGCAGGGGCCCACGCTGCCTAGGAAGGGCACAGAGGTGTTGGGGGGGGTTCATTGTGGGGCTGTGACTCGGTGGAAGACTGGGCATATCTAGGTGTGTAAGGTGTTTTCCCACTCAGTTGGGTGGGAATTGGGGGAAGCAAGACTCTGTTCATCCCGTATGACAACCTAGAAATCAACAGCCTCACATCAGATGTTATTCTCCCCCAAAAGCTGTTTAATCTGCACATGCTGGGGGAGAAATCTGCCTCTTTTGAAGCCTGTAGCAGCATTGTGTTGTTTTTAAGGGAACCATGTCCTTTCTGTTGACTCTGAACTCCTGCTAGAGCACCCTCAAATGGCTAGTCCCACAGGTTACTCACATCTCTGGGAGAGGCTGGGTGTTGGTGTTAGCAGACATCTCTCTCTCTTTGTGCCCCAGGAGGTAACTCCTGACAGTGAGAAGGAAATCAACCGCCTCTCCACCTTCCCCTTCCCTCCCTGCATCGGCTCCATCCTCCGCCGGCAGCGGGAAGAGAGGTGCCTGCCCTACAAAAGGTGATGCCTGGGGCCTGCTGGAGTCTGTGCCCTGCCCCGTGGGGCTTGTGGGGGCCAGGGAGAGCAGGCTGGCAGGGCAGGAGGGAACCTGGGGTGGGGGCTGTTGGCTGGGAGCTGCGTGCTGGCTGAGGGTTGCTTCTGGTGGGCGGGTGAAGGCTGTGGGGGTGAGGATGAAGACAGGATGCAAACAAGGTTTGAAAAAGCTGCTGCCTCACAGTTGTCCTTTGTGTCTCCTTTGTAGCTTGTCCTGCGGCTCCTTTAGCAGCATTGAAGATGCAACAGGTACCAGGGTGAGGACTTTCCTCAAAGGGCTTAGGTGAAAAGAAGCAGTGGCCATGGGGAGAGGGGCTGGGCTGCTGGTCCTCCCTCACCAGTTTGGGTTGTGCAGCTCACCGTGAGGGCTCTGCAGGTGTAGCAGGGTGCTATGGACCCACACGTGCCCCAGGCCCAGCAGCTGGAAAAGCTGTTTTTTAACTGCAGAGCAGGCAGCTCTTCACATCAGCTCTACTTATGGAGAGCTGCACTGATGGAGAACTTGATGTGGAGTTGAGGGAGCAGGTTACAGAAGAGAGAAATGCCTTTGCCCTGGGGGGTTATTGGATATTCCCTTCATCTGCTGCTGCCTGGGTCATGGGTTGTAAACCTCCTGGAGTGGAGCTCCTGGTGCTGGTGGCTTATCTCTGGGCACATCCAGGTGGCCCTGGCTACTGCAGCCTTCTGCCTTTGCTTCTTCTCAAGAGACAGGGGAAAGCCTTTCCAGGAGGGCGACCATTCCAAGCCCAGCTGTAGCCTCAGTTTCCTAGCCAGATGCTAGCAAATGCCCTGGAGGTGACATGCCCCCTCTCTCCCTTTTGCTCTCTTCCCTAGGCAGTGGTTTTGCTAGCACCTCGCATGGGACCTTCTCTTCTTCCAGCAGCAGCTACGCCAGGGTGAAGTCTGAGATCTGCTTGTCCACGCTTCGCAGCCACCAGGAGGTCACCAGGAGGTGACTACTGCTGGGCACTCGGAGTTGGCTGCCTTGGGGGGACGTTTTGTGGGGCTGGGGGACCTTTCCTTTCTGCCTCCCCCCTGTGCATGCTCTGTCTAGTGAGAGAAATGAGTATCCTGCAGTCCTTGCTTCCCAGCAGGACTCCAAAGTTTTGTGCTGTCCCATTTGGGATGGCAGCAATGGGGAGGTTGTCCTGGGCTTGTGGACACGTCTGTCTAGGTGGGGACAGGACCGTGGGGGCACAGTTTGGCTTTGGTGTTGGGGTTAGAGGGATGGAAGGGTCTGGGGTGGGGCTCCTAAGCTCTCTGGGTGTGCCCTGGTGATGGCTGTGATTCCTGAGCCCTGCCGTGCTCAGCACAATAAACACCCTGTGGCTGGACACAAGGCCTGGGGGACCAGTTCTTAGACAACACAGCAAGCTTCAGTTGCTGGACTTGGCATTTCTCCTTGCCAGGTCACTGGTGGTCCAGCTCAGCAGCATGGGTCACCCCAGCAACCCCTCACACCACGAGAAGAGGCTTGGAGCAGACATCTCCATCATTGGAGGGAACAGGACAGGGATTTATGTCCAGTGGGTCAAGCCAGGCTCACGGGTGGAGGACACAGGACTCAGGGAAGGGTGCCGGCTCATCGAGGTGAGTCTGGGAATGGGGCTCCCTTTGGGGCTTTGCAGGGCACCTGGGATGATGCAGAGAGCGTGGAGTGATCCCCAGCCCAAGCTGACCCAGTCTGAAGTCCACCTCCATTCCTCTTGTTTCCCAGAAGTGCTCCCTGCCTAGAGATTTGTGGAGCACCAACACCCAGCCAGGTCTCATGACACTCAAGTGTGGCGGTGCCTGTAAAAATGCTAAGACCTTCTGAAACATTCCTTTCAGCTACAGAAGGGGAGAAACAAAAAAGGAGCCATAGAATTAAGACAGCAGTAGGGTTTTATGTCCCTGGAGTTGTCTGTCACCTTGTAGTATTTCAGAGCAAACTGATTCCTGCATCCTGCACATGCCCATTGCAAGGCAATCAATTCTGGAGCAAGATTTCTTCAGGCCTTCATGACCCTCCTGAGCTCTAGAGAATAATTGCTCTGAAGAAAGCTCCTGGAGGGGAGGGAAGGGCGTTTGTTTTGGCAAGAGTGACACCACTTGAAATACAGCTACACTGCTTGAATAAATATCTCACCTGTAACTGGAGATAAAGCAGCTCTCCTGCCCTGGTGATGGGTGAAGGAGCTGGAGGGGGAGGGGAACCTGCTCTTCCAGCCCTTAATCCTAACAGCACTGAGTCCTTACTAGCTGAGGGTGCCATCCCTGAAGGAAGAGGTCCTTTCCCTGGAGAACTGCACTCGAGAGGTCGCCTACTTGAGCCTGCTGCATTGGGATGAACCCTCTGCTCTCATCTTTCAGCTGGACCTGGAAGGTAAGACCCTGGCAGCTGGGTGTCCTTTGAGCCTGAGCTCTCTGATTCCCTTCCCAGACCTTCCATCCAGCTCTGGAGGTAAATCTCTGTTATTCTTTCTCCTCTCCTGTTGGGTCCTAGGCCACCATGTCTGACACAGGGGTTGCCCATAGCTCCAGTAGATTCCCCTCTCTGGTGTGACTTGTGCATCCTCTGAGTCACAGGATGGAGGAGGTACAGACCCTCTGTCTGCTCACCTCCTCTCCACCCCCAGCTCCAACCCATCCCAGCCGTGCTGGACACGTGGCTATCTCACTGGTTGCCTCCTGTTTGCCTACCTGACCTCCAATCCTCTTCTCCAGGTTACCAGCCTCTGCGGGAAGCCCTGGAAGAAGGGAAGAAGCTTTCTGGAGACTCGTTCTACGTACGTACCAACCTGTCCCTCCTGGAGTCTTCAGACCCTTACGCTCTGTGCGTCAAGTGCCGGGAGATCCTCCACGTCATGGACACCATGCACAAGGGGCAGCTGGAGTGGTACTGCTCCCGAGTCGACCCCTTGACCATGAGGGACCTGGACAAGGGCACGGTGCCCAACTACAGCAGGTAACGAGAGCCAGGAGGAAGGTGTGGGCTCCCTGGGCTGTCTGCCCCCTTTAGATGTCATGAGCATCACCCAGGAGTCCTGAGGGGCTCAGACTGGTCTCTTGATGGTGTGGTCTGTCAAGCTTCGTGTGGAGGGACCTGTGTGGTGGCATCTGGGTGCCCTTGAGAGCCCGGAGTGAGGGCTTTGATACAGCCAAGCTTCTACTGATGTGGAGAAGAGGATCCTATCAGGCTGTGGTCCCTAGGGGCTCTGGAGTTACTTGAGTGTGAGTTCTCTGTCTTTTCAGGGCTCACCAGCTTTTGAAGATCCAAGAGAAGGGCCAGATGCCTGGGCAGCAGAGGGGCCACAGAAATAACGTAAGCCAACGAAGGCAGTGATGAGAGCCCTGTGTGTGTGCCTGTGGCCACCCCACCACCTCAGCATGCAATCTGCCCCACCCTCTTGCTAAACCAGCTCATGTAGAGGTGGCATCTGGGTTAGCAAGCAGAGCAGGGACTTACAGCCCAGGTAGTGTTCCTCTTCTGTGGCCGCTTTCCTACCCCCTCCCCATTTCCCAGGCTGAACTCAACGAGCAGCAGACCTGGTCCCACAATTTTTGTGTGTGTGCTCCCTCCCCTTTGCCAATGGGTGTTCTGCAGGCAGCTCTGTGTGTCTGTGCAAAGGTCTGTGCTCTTGGCCTTATTGCCCTCATTTTCTCCTCAGCTAAAGAAACGGGCCTTGGACCAGCTTCGCCTGGTGAAATCCAAATCACAGAGGAGCCTAGAACAGCCCCCTCAGCAGCTGTGGCTGGACCCCTGCTCTGGTGAGCTGTTACCCCTGTACCTGCCTCATCACCCTTGGAGACCCACTTGTCTCCTGTGGGCGCTGGAGGGACACTGACATCTTGGGATGCTGAAGTCTGTTTGCCCAGGATCCCTCTTTTAGCTCTGCTAACAGGGTTTTGGGAAGCCTGTGCATGTTTAAAGCCCCTGATTTTCTGGAGCTTCCTGTTGCTTCCATTGTTTTGGGGGACATGTAACTTTCTGTGGAAAATAAACCAGTGTGTAACTCAAGGGAGTTCCAGGAAATGGGCAAGGGAGGCTGCAGCCAGGATATCTGCCTGTGGGTGAGTGTTGTGAGAAGGGTAGGATCTCTCCTGGGACATAGAAAGTTTGGTAGGTGCCTCTGTTGGTCAGGATGAAGGGATGGCACAGGATGAATGGGATGATCTGTGGACCAGTGACTGGTCTCCCACCTTCTCACTGTTGGCTTTTTCCATTCCTGTCTCCCAGACCCAGAGCTGCACCTGAAGCCTTACAGCCTAGTGCGCCCCATGGTGGTGAAGGCACCTCGTCCCGTGGTGCTGTCCCCTCCCTGCATTGCTCCACGACTCATCAGGAACCTGCTGGACTTGCCCACCTCTCGCCTGGACTTCCATGTGTGTCCAGCAGGTAGGCAGCAATGGGACATCAAGCTAAGATGTTGTCATTTCTCTAGAGGCCTTGGGCAGCCCAGTTGAGGGAAGAGGTGCTCTTAGGCTTGGAACTATGAGATGTGGTCTCATGGGGCTCTTTGAAAGCACGTGGTGCCTCTTCAGCAGCTAAGTGTGAGGGGCTCTCACTCTTCTCTGCCAATACCTGTTGACAGGTCATGGTTTTGGGCTGAGTGTCTTCAAGATGTTCCCTCCAATCTTCAACTGTGTCCTATCCCTTTGGCCCTTCTTTCTGGACTCCTGGGGCATGGGGATCTTCTCTCTCCCCTTGAGTGGGTGATGGTGGTGTGGCCTTGTTGCTCTGGGTGTCTCTTCCCAAGGGTGAAGCCCCTGGGTGAGGTAGGCTCTGCAGGTTGACTTCATACCAGCTATTCCTCCCCAGGCATCAGAGGACCCAGTCTTAGTGCTGGTGTCCCCTTTCTGCCAGCAGCACGAGACTGATGCCCCACAGCAGAGGCTGCTGGGGAAAGGACTTTTCTCCCATAGGGAACTTTTACAGAGGACAGCTCCTCCTTTTGTCCTTCCTCCTCCCTTCTCCATCTCTCTCCTTCCCCTGTGTTTAGAATTCTGCCTTTGCCAGCTGCAGGACTGGAAAATGAGTCGATATCTTTTTTTGGGGGTGGTGATGGAGGTAGTGAAAAACCTCTGGATGCTGAGGAAAGATGGCTCTGCACATTTTGCCTGCTGGGCTTCTTCTGTGAGGGACTTGGCCTTATCTCTTGTCCTACTGAGCCCTCTGCAGGGTCCCACTCACATTGCATGGGGACGTGCTTGGAAACTCTTACTGTGACTGGGAATTTACACCCAGGGCAGAACCTGCATTCTCCATTCTGCTGGTGTTGCCTGTTGTGGGGGAAGGGAGATGATCCTGGAGCCCTGAGCCATTTCTTTTCTCTCCACATTTTCCTTTGGCGAACAACCCAGCCAGTGCAGAGTTAGCATAAACCATCTGAGCTTCCTCAGCAGCTGCCTGCCCCTAAAAGAAACAGGTTGTTTTGCAGGCTCCAGCTCTACCTGGGAAGAACCTGTGCCATCAGGCAGAGGTAGCAGAGGATGCCCAGCCAGCCTGGCGCTTGGGAGAGCTCTGGTTGTGCTCTGTGTGTGTTTGAGTTCTATCATCCTCTGTTGGGAGTTATCAGGGGTACCTGGCAGTCCTTGCTTGACCACACTGACCTCTCACTACACACTCCTCTTGCTTCCTCAGCCCTGCCACTCACAGGAGCCACCTACCAGTCTGTGCAGCTCACAAACCCTGCTGAAAACCTAGCTGGCAAGATAAAGTGACTGTTTTTTCTGCCATACTCTACGGTGGCAGGGGGGACAATGGCCACAAGCTGGCGTAGGCTGCTGTGGGACTGCAACCTAAGTGCTGCTGTCACCCTGCAAGTTGTCTTCAGCTGTAATATCTTGCTTGTTCTGTAGGCAGAAAGCTGCAGGATATCCATGCCAATGTGTAATGTTGGATAATTAGACTCCCTCTCTGGAATCCATAAACACTGAGCTCGATAAGCGTCAGCAGACGTGAGGTAGAAAGGATGTGCAGGAGGGAGAAGGGGCTGACATCTCCCTCTTCCTCTCTCCTCCTGGCTCACAGAGAAGCTGGCAGAAGGGGATCCCAGTGCAACCCACCCTCAGGAGCACCCTGTGTCTAGAACTGGCCCCCAGGACCGGAGGGAGAGTGGGCGAATCCGCATGATCCAGGAGACGATGGAGAAGGTGCTGAGCTGGTTGGTTTGAGGAGAGAGGGCCAGGATGGAGCAGGGGGAGAGGGAGAGTGGCGTTGCGACAGAAAAGGAGCTGCTTGGTTGGGGGCTGTGTAATTTGGAGGATGTTTTAGGTTCAGGTGTGATGGAGCAGCAGATATGGACATTTCCCTGAGCTTCTGTTGAGCTCAGGTAGAAGAAGTGGCAGCTGGGGACACATGGCAGAGGTGGTGGGAGAGGTCACTGCAGAAGTGACTTCCCTGCCCTCACATTCCTCACCTTTGCCAAAGCAGCAACAGCTCTGCTCAGGGCAGGGGGAGAAATGTAGGGCTGTGGGTGACAAAGGGTGGCAGTGGTGACAAACCAGGTATTCTTATGGTCTGTGGCTGAGCAAGGGGCTCTGTTGGCTCTCGAGTTGGGTTGGTGGTGATGGAGTGGGTGACCCTGCTCTTTAATCCTCCCCTTCTTTCTTGTCACTGTCCATAAATCCCACATTTAATGGAATTACTATTGGAAAAGCAATGATATTTCACAGCAGGGCGTTTGATTTAATGTAACTGTCAGGGGCTGGGGGTTATTTTTTCCCCATTTAAATCAGTAAATCTCTTCCATTTCCCTTCCAGAATAAACACTGCCTGCTGGAGCTGGGAGTTCAGAGCGTGAGGGATCTCATCAGAAGTGAGATATACCCCATTGTTATCCACATTGAGGTCACTGAGAAGAATGTTAGAGGACTCAGGTGAGGAAAGATGGGGTGGCATGGATGGAAGGGGTCGTGGGAGGAGAGGGAACCCCTCGTCTCCCTTCAGAGGGTCCGGATGAGGGTCGGGGTTGAAGCTTCTTGCCGGGTTAGCTGCTGGGAGGGGGAAAACCAGCAGGAAAATCAGCTTTGCCTCCCTCTGAGAAGATCCCTGGGTGGCTTTCCCCAGTCCCTCCACGCCCAGGGTGACGCTGGTGCCTGTGTTTTCCCCAGGAGCTTGCTGGGGGAGGCGGGCCGGCGGGACTCGGAGGTGCTGAAGGCGTGTCGTGGTGCCGAGCAGGCTCTCCACACCCTGCCCTGCTCCTGGGCACGTCTGGAACCCCACGCCTGGAGCCGCCCCGAGGAGCTGCCCAAGGTCCTTCGGGGATGCATCTTCCAGGAGCAGACCCGCCCCCTGTGGATCGAGGAGGGCGACGACTGAGCTGGGGAAGGATGGCAGAGCGGGCACCAGCCCCAAGAGGTGTTCTTGGAGGTGCCTCCTCGGGCTCCTCCAGGTATTCTTCTTACCTGAGGGGATCCCAGAAGCAAAGCCCCCCCCCCCAAGGGTAGCCCTTCTGGTGCCATGGAGGCCACCAAGAGCCAGGGAGTGACACCTGCTGCCTTCCCTGGTTGAGCTTTCTGTGTTTGATTGGCGAGACGTCTTCTACCCTCACAGTGGACACCACCCTCATGGACTGTTGCCCATCCCTGAGGTCAGATTGTCAGATGGGGACCAGAGGGGAGCTGTGGGATCAGGCCGAGGAGGAGCATGATCCATTTGAAGCCCATCTCCCCTCCCCTCCACCTCCCCTGCCCTGTGGCACTGTGTGCTCTGGGTCTCCTCTTCCTCTGCTTGTCTACCTCGACTCCAGGCCCCGTGGCACGGGGTGCCAAGGCCCCACCGCGGCTGGAGGGACACTAAGCTTCCAAGAAAGCCTCGTTTTACAGGAGCTGTACTCTTTATTGCTTGTAAATTATTAATAGAGCCTTCTACTGGCAAACCACATAGAAAGGAGAATTAAATACCATTCATAACGGGAGTGGGTGGCAGGCTAAGGGCTTCTGTCTTATTGGGAAGGGTTAGGGGATGCACAATGGGGTATTTTTCTCCTCCTTTAGCTGAGACCCAGCTGCCCATGCTGCATATCACGTCCCCCTCCCATTTCTGCTTGCTCCATTTTTCAGTCCCTTGTCTCTCCCCACTGCTGATGTTGGCCAGATTAATTTAGGAAAGCCAGGGAAAAGCTCACTTGATGTGTCTGGCTGAGGTCCCTAGAGCTTCCCATCCCTTTGTGCCCTGGTTATTGTGAAGTGACAAGCTAGCTACCTCATCCTCCTGGAGGACACTGGTGAGACTGAGCCCAGCAACACTGCCAGGAGAGTGGGGGCAGTGCCCCTCTAATGTTCTCACCCTGTCGTAGGCCTGGGGGTGGGTCCGAGGAGGAAAAGAAGGAAGACAGAAGGTTTGGGTTGGCAGCATCTGTGGTCACCCACCTTAGGATGATCCCAAGTCCTAACCTGTTGGAAAGGGGTGCCAAGATACCCGTGCCATGGAGAGGTGGTGGTTGTGGTGTGGTAGGTGATCTTTCCTGGGGCACACAAGAGGGAAATGGAGTCTGTAGCTCTGGGAAGCTCCACGGAGTATGAGGTTGAGTCCACTGATCCTGGTCTCAATGGGAGAAGATGGACAACTGACCCCAGAGTCAAGTCCTCTCTGTGTCCTCCTTGCCCCTGTGGTTAGGGCACTGCTCCTGCCGTACACTTCTGAAGCTCTGAGCAAAGATTAACTTGCTGATCTCCACAGGTCCCCTGCGAGATGTTATTTCAGGCTCTAAACCAGTTGCCTGTGTCTTTTCGGAGGACGTGAAGCGGGGGGGGGGAGGAGGAAAGAAAACAAAAAGATTTTCACCTGCAGTCACTAAAATGTAGAGCAGAGTCCCAGCTCTGCCCTGGAGCAGTGCAGCTTTCACAGGCAAGGGGGAACTGGTGTCACACATGGCTCCAGGTGAAAGCTCCCAAACGACATCCACTCCAGGGGCTGTAGCCTCAGCATCCCCACACAGCCAGCCCCCTTGGGAGGAGGCTTGCCCTGCAGGCAGACAAAGTGAGACTCTTGTTGAGCTGATGAGAAGACAAGTCCCAAAGCAAGCTCCCATCCACCCTGGCATGGATTTGGAGATGAGTTGTTTGCATCTTTCCAGGGAAAACAAGTAGTGCTTGAGTGCCCAAGGAAAACACTCCGAGGCACTCTGATTTAGGGCTTGATTCACCTCCCTGACCCACCAGTATAGCCAACCAGAGGGAAAGGCAGGCAAAAAGAAGGTTGCTGGGTGGCAGGTTGGTGCTGCCCAGCTCTGCAAGCAGTAGGCAGCGCTGCCTCACCTGCTCCAGGGCTTCTTCCAGCTCTCTTCACCCACCTCGTTTCCCCTGAGGTTTTCAAAATCCAGCTTCAGCTCGTTCTGGACACGGGTGAGAAGCTGGGCAGAGGGCTCCAAGGCAAACATCAATGACCCCCCCACATGCCCTGCACAACCCAGTCCACCTTCTTTGTGCCTTTAGGGGGGTGGCTGCCTGCTCGGGGAGGAATGAGTCACGGGTTAGGTAGCAGGCAGAATGCAATTAGCAGCCCTGGGCACCAATTACCAGCAACAACAGCCTTGTGCAAGCCCCTGTGAGCAAAATTCCTCCCTCAAGGCAGGGGATGGGCCACGTGTGTCACCCTGGGAAGTCACCAGCCCTTTCCATGCTGTCCCCCTGCCCCAGCAGAGCTGCAGCAGTGTGGGGTCTCTGTCCCATAGGTTCCCCCACCCCAACTGGGCATGTTCTGCTTTGTGCATGGTTGGCTCTGACCTGTTCTGCTTCAAAACAAGGGAGTTTTGAGCCACAGCTGTGTGTCTCCTGGGGCCACCACTAAGATCCTTTGCCTGTGTCCCCCTCTTTGCCTCCAGGATGATTTCCTAGGCCAGGGCTGGAATGTGCTGCAGGATGCCTGGGAGCCATGGAAGCTGCACTGAGAGCTGTCTGGGGCTGCTGGCGTGTGGCTGAAGCACTCACAGAGGTTGATGTCTGCTTCAGGAGCAGCGACTAGCCATGGGAGCAATCCCAGTATTTAGTGCAGAGGCAGCAGATCAGTCATACCAGTTTCACACCCCTGCAGGAATGTAAGGCCTGAAGGTGAATGACTCCCCCCTCTGCCCCAAATTGGTGTAAGAAAGCATCAGTAGTCAAAGGGATCTAAGAACAAAACCTGCAGGGACCCTCCAAAGGGATATGGGAGATGCTCTGGAGATGTTCTTGCTTCAGGGGAAGGCTAGGAGGCTTGCAGAATTGGAGAAATCCACGGGAGGAGGGAGGGGAAGTGGATTCAGTGGTTTCTTCCTTACCAAAAAAAGAAACAAAAGTTTGTAACCAGGGACAGAGCTGGGGTGAAAGTGTCTATGAGAGGCCTGGGAAAACTGAGCCTGTGGTTTTAGCCCTGCAGGGAGCTCTTCCCTGTGTCTGTGTCTGGACACAAGGTGGGAGTGTGGAACAGAGAGACCCCAACCTGTGCCCTGACCCTCTTTTCTAGGATGTCATAACCTGACCTGTGCAGGGGGGACCCTTTGCCACGTGACACCGTGCCCTCTCCTTCCCCCCCCTTTCCTCTGGGCTCCTTGTCTTATTCCTTTTTATTTTTATTATCTTTTTTTCTTTGTATGCTGAGATTGGATGCCCACAGCTCCCCGAGGAGCCGCTCTGATTTCAGCAGCTTATGTAGAGCACGACCATCCTGCTGGCCCCACGCTGGCTGAGCAGGGAAGCTGGGCTGGGAGTGAAGGCATTGTCCCCCTCCTGGGCTGGTTGCCTTTCTGTAGCCCCCCAGCTCCTCTGTAAAGGGGACCTTCATCCACCCCATATCCCACTGAACCAGCAGCAGTGTGGTGCTGACCCCAAAATATCTTGTCTGAGGAGGTCTTTGTCTTGGCTCTCACACTTTTTGAGGGTCTCTGATAGCCCCATCCTTGAGGACAACCTTCTCTGCAGCTACCTCTGGGTGCATATGGGGTAGGGGGGCAAAGGGGACACAAAGGGTCCAGCTTTGGGGCAGCAGGGTGGGATTAAAGGGCAGGAGCAGCAGTTCAGAGCAGCACCCACAGGAGAAATCAGGCTGGGGAAACATCGTTCCTCTCAAGAACAACATAGGACCCCACACCTGAACTTCTCCAGAGCTCACATCCCTGCCACCTTCACCTCCTCCTGTGGGACCTCAGGGCTGAGTGGTCACAGAGGAGAAGGAAAAACAGCCAAGCAACAGGTTTGTCCCCCCGGATCAGCTGGTGGTCACCTTGGCTGTCCCAGCCTGGCCATGCCCCAGTAGAGGCAAACCCTCTGCCAGACCCAAGGCTTCCCCCTCTCTCCATCCTCCCCCCCTCCATCCTCTTCCTCCTTCGGGGGCTGGCGCTCCGCCCCGTGCCTGGGGGCGGGTCCGGGGCTATGGAGCGGGGGCAGCTTGCGGGCCCCTGCCACTCGCCTCCTCCCCGCAGCCCCTGGCTCGGATGCATCAAACTGCTGTCTTCTGGGAGAACAATGCCTTCGGTCCAGGTTCTGAGCTCCTCGACTCCACAGCCACTCTCCTGCTGCCTTTCCCAGGGTCTTCCCAGCACGTCTTGTTGGGTCAGCCAGTCCTCTTAGGCTGTGAAAATTCCCCCCCCACTCCACTGGTACCCTCTGGGGTTGCTGCCTCTTTGGCTTTCTGGTCTTCACTCTCTTTATTCCTTGGCCACATCCTACCCAGACCTTGCTCTGGGCTGCTCCTGCCCTTTCAGAGGCCTGGAGAAGAGTGGACAGCTTCAAGACGGAGGTAGAGGCAAAGGCTGGTCTTGAAGAAGAAGATACTGGCTGTGGTGGGAGCAATCTGGGAGCCATGGGCCGTCGGCTCATCCGTGGTCTTTCTGGAGCTGCAGTCTTCCTCGTCAGCGTGGTGTTCCTCTCCGTGAGGCACCGTGGGGCTCAGGAAACACCTCAGCACCCAGGGCTTGGGGAGGGGATGCTGGAGAAGCTGGAGCAACGGAGCAAAGTGAGCCCAGAGGGAGGTGGTGGCAGGGGACAGAAGGACCTCAAAGCCCATCCTCTGGAGGGATCCAGGGCTGAGGGAAGCCTGACGCTTGAAGACGTCTTCATAGCCGTGAAGACAACCAAGAGATTTCACCAGAGCAGGATGGAGCTGCTCTTGGACACGTGGATATCTCGGGTCAGAGAGCAGGTGAGCACGTGGATTTGGATGGAGAGAGGTGGGGGGTTGATAACGGGGCAGGGACAGGGTGTCAGTGTTGGGGGGAGAAAGGCCAGAGGAAGAGGAGGTTGGGCACTGCAGTCCTCTTTATTTCTCACTTCATGTCGAAAGGAGGACACTATCCAGCAGAACGTTTCACTGGTAGCTGCTTTATGGGCCAGGTTGTCTCTGAAGAGCTTGTGTGGGCTCTTCCCAACTAAGGCTGGGAGGATGACTGTTCTTAGCAGGCATCACTTGATCCTAACCTAAGCCTGATTCTTTCAGCTTGAGGTGGAAGGGGTTGAACTTCCTTTTCCCCATGAAATGGGGCCTTTTCTAGTGCCACGAGCTGGCTAGGTTTTGACCCTCCATCAAGATGCCCTCCTTGGACCTGGGCACCCAGGTGGGAGGCAGGAAGGGTGTCTGCACCCCTGCTCACTCCCCAGCACACCAACATGATCCTTGCCTTGCTTTTTTGGGCAGATCCTCTCACATGCATGATCTTGAAGAGACATGGGTGCATGTTTGGTGGTTTTTTGGTGTTTTTTTTTTTTTTTCTTCTTAACTGTGGATCTGATGTTTCCACCTTTTGCTAAAGCATAGTTGGAGAGTTTCCTTCTTGTTAGAAGAATCATAGAATCATAGAATCATAGAATCATAGGGGTTGGAAGGGACCTCGAGAGATCATCTAGTCCAACCCCCCTGCCAGAGCAGGGTCACCTAGAGTACATCACACAGGAAGATGGGTGCATGTTTGGTGGTTTTTTGGTGTTTTTTTTTTTTTTTCTTCTTAACTGTGGATCTGATGTTTCCACCTTTTGCTAAAGCATAGTTGGAGAGTTTCCTTCTTGTTAGAAGAACTGCTGTGGGGCACCATGTTGGTGGTGCTGTGCAGGCTGTCTTACTGGTGGGCAGAAGAACTCCCCAGAGCCCAGGTACTTCTTTCCCTTCCCTCGCAGAGCTGCTGCTGCCCCCAAAGGGGGTTTGGTTTTTTTTTGCCTCTGCCTGCGTGTGATGGGCGCCTGGAAGACAAATTCAGGCCTCGGCGATGAAGGAGGGCTGGAGGTGGAGGTATTGGGTAGGAAAATGCTTGAAGCAGTGCAGGTTTTTTTGGGGTGAGGGTGCTTTTCCACTTCAGGGTGCTGCAACTGCCTGGTCTGCTGCGGTTGTCACAGGAAGCCACGTCCTATTTTGAGCAGACTTCCTCTCTGGTCTGCGTGTTCCTCTCAGCCTCTGAGGTGCCCTGCTTCCTCCTCCAGATGCACTTCTCCTCTCTGCCCAACCTCAGCCCAGCAGCTCTTCAGTAAAAGCAAACCCAACCCTAATGCACAAAGACTTTGGGCCTTTTGGAGCGGATTTCTCCTTGTGGCTTTGACAAGCAGGTGCCTGGTCATTCCCCTGGTGACAGGAATTAGATATTAGCTCCCCAGATTCATCTGACCCAGGCAAACCATGTACAAACCTGGGGAGGGGTGTTGAATTTTCCAGCCTCTCGGAAAGCCTCCCAGACTGAGCTGGAGAATAGGAAGGAAGAGTAGAGTGGGAGCATCCGTCGTTTTTGAGGCTGGTTTTTCATTGTTAATTTTTGTTGCAAGCTCAGTGTTTTCCTCCCCCTCCTCAATTTTCCATATTTTTCCTGCTTTTTTTTGACTAAATGGCCTTGAGGGTAGGGGAACGGGGGTGGGGTGGGAGGTAGAGAGAAGTACATGAAAGTCAAAAGCCTTTTTTTTTAATATACTGCTTTTTTGGAGGTGAGGGAAAGGATTAGTTTTGAAAAATTGACAATATAGAAACCTCACTTAGCAAAAAAAAAGGGTCTCAATAAACAAAGGACATTTATTTGTGGTGGGGCCAGGGTTAGGGCACCAGACCCCCTGGTGTTGAGGCTTTATGGAGAGGGATAGGCTGTAAGAGCCAATCTTGGAGAGATCCAGGTCTCAGAAGCCCTGATGTGCAGCGACTCCCTCCTCCTAGGGTTGACCCCCTGTCTTGCTGTCTCACTTCACCTTTTCCTCGTGGCTGGAGATTGATTCAGTGGGTCCTTCTCTGCAGGGAAATTTTAGCAGCTGGCTGTGCTGCTGATGCCCAGCCTGATTTCAGAGCTGCTGACTTGCCTGGTGCCCTCCCTGGAGGAAGCAACCTAGACCTCACAGGTCAGGTTTAGGTAACTGCAACAGGAGGCAGGAACAGCTGTGGGTTTTATGGCTAGGACAGGATGGACAGGAGCCAAGTTAAAAGTCTTAAATAAAATAGAAAATGTTGGACTCTGTCAGGGTGGACAATAAGAGAGACATTTTCCCTGCAACTGCACTTTTTAAACAGAAGAGAAGATAGTGTAGCTGGTGGGAGATCCTTGCTGGACCCTGCTCTGCAGGTTTTGGTGTTTTTTTTAGGCTAGACAGCATCTTTGAGTGGCTTACATTCCTGGCCCTGGTAGTTTTGATGGAGATAAGTCAAGGTTTCTGGTCTGAAGTGCCATTTTGGTTGGGAGCATAAACTAATTCTAGCACCTCCCCTCCTTTTGGAAACCCAGACATCCAACTGATGGAAATGAAACCTTTGAATGACCCATCAGAGGTTCCTGAACTGGCTTGCACGTTTTCAGAACTGGGAACACACTGTAAATTTTGAATCTGTTCTCTGGACAGGACACAACCATAATAACCCTGCTGAGGTGTTTTTTGTGGAGAGATGAGGATGCAGGCAGCTGCCCGTGCTACTGTCATCTTCATGGTAGAGCCAGAGCATCTCTGGAGAGCTGTAGCCAGGTGTCCCAGAGACATCAGAGTTTGGGAGAGCCAGAGAAATCAGATTTGCCTCATCCCTGCACTCAAACCCCCATTTTCCAGTTATTTTGGGCAGTCTGGTATTCCCTGTGATGATGTTTCTTCCTCTTTGGGTTCCCACAGAAGCGTGTTGGGTGGCTGCAATAACCATTTCCCACCTTACTTCAAGAGCAAAGTGGGAACCTTGGAATATTTTCACAAGTAAAAAATCTGGGAAAATATACAGATTCCTATCTTAAGCCAATCAAATATGCTGTTTATGAGACACATGATTTCTAGTCAGTTTTATATCTACAAGTAATTTCCAGCAAGGTTTCCAGTTTGTTTGGAAATGTAAGAAAGTTTCCATGGTTTCAGAATTATTATATTTTTTTTTATTTTCAAGATGAAATATTTGTCATAGTGGAAATTTCTGGCTGTGCCATGCTGAGGAGGGAAATCCCCTGCCACTGAGAAACCCTGCCTTGCCTGGAGGTTGTGACACAGTCCCCTGACCCCCTTTACCTGAGACTTAGCTAATTGCTTCTTGTCCCCTGGTCACCTTGGAAGTGGTTTTAATTAAGAGAGTTTACCAGTGGGGTAGGAACGTGCTCGTGGCTGGTTGCTGCAGCTCAGCTGCTGGAGGGTAAGTCAGGGGGATGCTGTAGAACATGAACTCGAGGTCATGAAACCATCCTGCTGTCCCTGCTCAAGCCAGGTGGCCTCTGAGGATCCTCCATTGCCTTCTTTCCATGCCCAGAACATTTCTCCTGCCACGTCTCCCTGATGCTGGCTGGGCGTGGAGAGGCATAAAGACTTTTTGTCGTGTCCTCGGAGCCTTTGGAGGCACTGCTGGTTTGTGAAGCTGTCGTCTGCCTTGTCCTCTTTGTCCCTGCCCAGGTGCTGAGTTTAACCAGCCTGTGGGCAGCTGGTTTCAGCGTGTGACTCCTTTTGGATTGCATGAAAGCTCATTTTCTGCCTGAGGAAAGCTTTTCTCCACCAGCCCTGGCCCCAAAGAGGGGGAGATGTGCCTCATAATGGCAGCGAGGGGGATTAGAGAGGCCTGGGGGTGGAGGAAGTGGAGGAGGAGGAGGCTGGAAGCAGCAGGGGGCTCTGCACACTTAACACACAAACAGTTGTTCTCCTTTTAACCCGAGCATCACTCAGCCACCACACTTTCCTTTTTCCACCACCGACACCTACACCAGGGCTCCCTCACCCCCTAGCTCAGTGTCACGGGTCCCCATATCCCTGATCCAAGGGTGGGTGGCCATGAGCAACACCAGCTCCATCCCTGAGAATAACCTCCTTTCCTTGTTTTCCCAGACCTACGTCTTCACTGATGAAGAAGATGATGCCCTGGAAAGGAGAATGGGTAACAACCTGTCCTGTAACACCACCTCCCTGTTGCCTTCAGCCTCTGAACCTTGGGAGGGGTCTGACACAAAGGCTGCCTCTGGAGGAACACTCCTTGCCACGTCCTGTGGGAGGACCCCAAGCTGCAGCAGGGATGGTTTGGTTTAGTTGGCTTACCCCAGGGCATGCAGCCAGCTAGAGGCAGGGTGCTGTTCAACCATCCATGGGTGGAAGCAACCCATGAGAGAGCCCTTCAGCCCCTGCACTTGGGTGAGAAGTGGGCAGGGTGGAAGTGCTGTTGGCAGGTGTCCTAGTCTTGGCCAAGATGCTTCGTCACCTGGTAGGGGGAAGGATGAAGCCCACATCACCATGGGTTTGGATCCCTGTTGGGATCCCATTGAAGATGGAGGGCCACAACGAGGTTGGCTGTGAGCAAACCTCTTCCTTCCCACCCAGAGATCCTCCTCGTGAGCGTGAAAATTGGGGTGGCCCTGAGCCACATCTTCCTCTTTCCTGGCAGGCAACCATGTGATCTTCACCAACTGCTCTGCTGAGCACAGCCACAAGGCCCTCTCCTGCAAGATGGCTGCTGAGTTTGATGCCTTCCTGGCCAGTGGCCGGAGGTGAGACAGGGCTGCTGGGGGGGGACCCCAGAGAGAAAGAGGCACCCTCCTCACTCCAAACCACTTGTGTCTTCCTTCCCAGCTGGTTTTGCCATTTGGATGATGACAACTACCTGAACCCTCGGGCCCTCCTGAAGCTCTTGTCCTCCTACTCTGCAAGGAGAGATGTTTATCTGGGGAAACCCAGCCTGAACAGACCCATCTGGGCCTCCGAAATGCTGCCAAACAACCAGACGGTACAACCTCTGCGGGGGGTGGGGGCCAAGGGGTTGGCTTTAAGTGCTCTAGCTCAGTGGCCATGGATGTACCCCAAGGAGAGACAGGTCCAAGGGCAGCAAGCAACAGCTTAAAAAAATCACCAGTCTTCTCTAAACATGGGTGTAGTTGTCAAACTCAATCTGATCTACCCAGGGGAAGAGTCCCACGTTTCTGCTGCTCCTTTGGGTACCTGTGTGCCAGGAGATAAGCCTGCCTTTGGGCAGCCCACCTGCTGCTGCCAGCAAGGACTTGGCTGGTCCAAATATAAGGAGGTTAAAATCCATGTTGTACTGCTAGCAAGTCCTTCATCTGGGCAGTGGGCAGGAGTCTGGGGTGACAATAGGGCTGTGCTCATCCTGGCATCAAAGGTGGCTTTTCAGAATTCCCCTCTCAGGGAGTATGATGTCTTCTGAGCCTCTGCCATTGATTTCCTCTGCTGTTTCTCTCCAGAAATTTGTGCACTTCTGGTTTGCCACAGGAGGAGCTGGGTTTTGCATCAGCCACAAGCTGGCAAGCAAGATGGTGCCGTGGGCCAGGTGAGCTGAGTAGTTGGTGAGTTTTGAGGGTGAGGAGCCTTTGGGGATGAGGAACACGTCCACACAGATTCCTGGCAGTGTCAGCTCCAAATTTGTTTGTGTGGTGTTTGCAAGAGTGCCACATACCCATCTGCAAGCATGTGGGACTGGAGGAAGGATGTGGTAGGTGGGTCTGCCACCTGATTAGAGAGAGACAAGAGCAGACAGGTCAGCAAATAGGATCATAGATGACATAAAATCTCCCACTACTGTATTAAAATGCTTAAAACACACTTGGACTGGCTGAGGGATGTTATAGCAGACAGTGCTTTGTGCTATGTGGCTGCTTCCAGTTGCAGGAGCCTTAAAATTTGGGTTTTCTTCTTCATGCTGCTCCTGGGCATGTGATCCCACTGTTTCTGTCCGTCAGGGACTGAGTGTAGCTCACCAAACAGGTGGAAAAGTGGCTTGGCAAAGTCTTTCATCTCCCTGCATCAGCTCACCAAGAAGCTGGACATGTGTTAGGGACAGTCCCCAAAAACTGGTGGGACAGCAGGGCAGAGAGTGGTCAAAGAGCAAAGACATCCCCAAATCTTTGCAGGTAGACCTCAGGGATTTCTCACCTAGTTCCAAGATCCACTCTGGCTTTCAGTGAAGTCCTTCATTTCTCTCCCACCCACGTGTTCCTAACCCACACAGCTCTATTCTCTCCCAGTGGCAGGAACTTTCTGAGCACTTCCCAGCTCATTCGCCTGCCGGACGACTGCACTGTGGGTTACATCATAGAGTGCAAAGTTGGTGGCCAGCTGCTGCCTAACTCCCTCTTCCACTCCCACTTGGAGAACCTCCAGCTCATCCCTGCCTCTCGGCTCACCCAGCAGGTGAGGAGGAGACGTGGAGCCAAGAGGGAGGTGTGGGTGAGGAAGAAGTGGAGGGAATATTGCTCCGTTGGTCGCACTCACGTGGTCTGAATCCATCCTCTGCTCTTTTGAGGAGCCTTTCTTGACAAATGCTCCTTTGAAACAAGGAGCAGATGTTGCCTGCAGCACAGATGCCAGTCACAGTGCCCCTGGGGTGGATGGGGAACGTGTGTGGGGGAGTGATGTGAGGATTGAGGACATCCCTGGGGGAATGTGGCACCAGGACAAGCAGAAATGATGACTGAGTGGGGAAGGGGCTTTGACATGGCACCCTACCTTTTGTTGGGAGATAACAAGGAGTGTAGGGGGCTTGGAAAGGCAAAGGGATGATCCCAATGGACCATCATGGGAAGGAAGACAGGAGAGTTGTGGAAGTCAGAGGCCAAACCAGCAGAGAAGGGACCAGAGTGCGAGCTTCTGTTGCCCAAAGCGAGTTCCTTGCTCCCGAACTCACCTCATCTTCCCTGCTCCTTTCTCATCACCCTTCTTTGCAGGTCACCCTCAGCTACGGGGTCTTTGAGAACAAGCTCAATGTCATTGAACTCAGTGGCCCCTTCTCACTCCAAGAGGATCCCTCAAGGTATGAAGCTTGAGTGCTGTGGTGGTGCTGCAGCGTGTGCTGGGAGGGAGAGGCAGCCAAGTGGGGTGCAGGAGGTTTAGAGTTGGGGACAGTCCTAGAGGACTAGAAACTTTGCAGACCTTTTTGGATGAGGGAGAAAAAAAAGATGTATCAAACCACTTTACCTGAACAATTCCTGAGCCCAAAGTGTTGCCATTTATTTCCCATTTTGAAACTGAAACAGGCTAACCTTTTACCTCTGGGACTGGAACAGAAAATGTTCTTTTAAAACTCAGGAAATTCTGCTTGCTTTTTCATTTTAGTTTTTCTTTTTTTGCTTTGCTGAGAAAACTGAAGGGAAAAAAAGAAAAAGGTTCACTTCAGGCTGACTGCAAACAAAAGTGTTCTTTGATTTACCTTCTCTGCTTTCAGTGAACAAACCTTTCAGTTATTATTTGCAGAGCACGGGTAGGAAGCTCCTGGTTGGAGATAGAAGGGGTGGGAAGCAGCTAGATGATGAGAAGAGCAGCAGCAGAACCATGTAGCAGGGGCTGGGGCAGTGCCTATCTCCCTGCCTGTGATCAGGGTGAGCCATGGGCTTGGGCTACATGGGTCAGAGCTGGAATGAGGTGTGGAGGGGAGGTTTGGATGCTCAGCTTTGCTGAGAAAAGACATCTTGAGGTGAGCAACTGGTCCTGGAGCTCTGTAGTGCAGGGTGGGTGCCTGATGTGGAATGGGCCAGGAGGGAGAGATCTGTTTTCCAGCTGTGTGCAAGCTGAGCTTCCTTCCCTCTCCCCCCGACAGGTTTCGATCACTTCACTGCCATCTCTACCCCGACACCTCCTGGTGCCTGCAGGCTGCTGGCTGGTGATGCCTGAGCCTCAGCTCAGGTCCTGGTGACATTCGTTCCCCTTGCACATGTGGAAGGGGGGACACTGAAGAAGCTCAGTGCTCCCAGTTTCCCTGTGGCTATGGGGGTCCTGTGGCTGTGTGATGGGTTTTTTTTGGCTCTTGCTGAATACTGGTGACACAGGAGAAGAGACAAGCTCTATCCCAAAGATGGGCAACATGGGCTGGACCCAGGGATGGGCTTCCAATCTGTGCTGGGATACATACAATGAATGGGAGCCCCATGCCCTCCTGAGCAGATTAAGGACTGAGCAGTGACTGCTGGACATCTGGGTAGAGATGGGGACCTGCTGCTGCTCCCTGCTCTGGATTCATCTTGTTGGACTAGCAGAGCCCTGGGTACGAGTAACTAGTACCCAGGTGAGGAATGCTGATAGTGTGTTGTGGCTCCAGCCTCTCAGAGCAAACCCTCTTCCTCCATATCTGCTCGTGCTTGACCCCATGTCCACTTTTCTCAGCCCCAAACCCTTGGCTGAGCCTCTGCTTTAGTCCAGGTCTATTGAAATGGAAAATGTGATCACTTCTGTGCTGAAGGAGTGCTGGAAAAGCACAGCCCTTGCTTGGCAGAGGAGAGATGGGCAGGAAGTGTGACGATCTTGTCTGGGCCTGCATTATTCCTCTCTTTTTACCTTCTTGATATGGGGTCAGGATAATCTCTTGCTCTAATTACCAACCTGTCATCTGAGATTAGACTTCAGCTCCTACCTGTGAGAGAGGAGACATGAAGGATTAGAACTGGCTGAAAAAGAGGAGAAAGGAAGAGATGGAGGAGTGCTCAGGAGCGGATTAGAGGTTACAGCTTTATAATCTTCTCTGCGCCCCAACCAAAAAAAACTGAAGTCAAGAAGGAATGGAAACAGTGAGGCAAAGAGCTTTTTATCTCTGAATTTCTTTCCTCCAGGTGCTAAGAGCAGTTTCTGCCTTCCTGCTGTCCCTGCTGAGCACAACAGGGGGAAGGAGAAAGCCCAAATAGGTTATAAGCTTGCTGGCATGTTTGTGGAGAGTCCTTTTCTCTGGCATGAAAGCTGGGAAATTCTGTTTGCCTGGGAATGAACTTGGGCACCACTTTGTCCTTGTGCACACAGTTAAATGGCTGGGGGGGAGAACGTTGCAGGGGAAAGCTGGAAGGCACAAAGAGGCTGTTGGAAATGGCAGGTGGTGCCACAAACAGGTATTGGGCTTTAAAACATTTCAAAACACATCGCTGGGATCTGTGAGAGCTTCCTGTAATCTCCAGATGAAAGGACAAATGCCCTTTCTCCAAAGAGCTGCACGGCTTTGATGCCACTGATGTGATTAAACCTGCTGCTGGTGGGCTGGAAGAGCCAAGGGTGAATATCCCTCTGCCTCTACCTTTTTCTCTCTACCTCTGCTGAAAACCAGCCACCCTGTTGCCTTCTTCCACCCCCAAAGCATCACCATCTCCTACACAGCACACGTGAGGCTTAAAGGCAAGGTGGCAAAGAGCCCTTCTACCTCTGCAAAAGAAAGGAATGAGCCCTTTTGTTTCTGGAGAAGCAGATCTCCAGCCTGGTCATTCTTAGCAGCATTTCATCAGCTTCTGAAGCAGCAGAGAGCTCTGCTTTCTTCTCTTGCATAACACGCCTTTGAACTGGAAATGCATCCTGAGCAGGGACAGGGGCTAGCTGATGCCAATGGCCATTTCTGGAGTGGTGCAAAGCACTTGGCTCGTGCAGCTCCATGGCCCTAGGAACTATGTGGCTCAAAACAGAGACACCCAGCTATCAGAAGAGAGAAGTCCTGCCCTCCAGGGAAAATGGTTTGGTTTGGTTTCAACCAGATGAAAACTGCTTCTGTGAGAAGAAATGAGAGTCTTCAACAGAGGTCTACACTACCCAGATATCTTTTTTTTTCCCCATTCAAACTTTCAGCTGCTGCTTTTTGTTAGAAAAAAACAGCTCCTCAGAGTCGACCAAAGAAACCAGGTTTTCTCTAAGAACAGAGAGACAGCTTCAGGGGGCGTTCACCACATGGAACCTGATCAACGTGAAAACCTGAGTTAAAATTAGTTGCAGGGATGGTTCCTGCCCCTGGGTGTTGGTGTCAGATGGTGTGGGTTGACAGTCTCATTTTCCTAGTTTATGAAAATGTTCAGCTGCTTGCGAAAATGAGGAACAATCTCACGTGAAACTTTTCAGAGGGCTGTCTTATTCTCCTTCACGATTTTCTGATGTAACACCTAAAGATTTTAGAAAGGTTCCACTGGGTCTATCCCTTCCTTCCTGCCCTCCTTCCTGCCCTCCTTCCCGCCCTCCTTCCTCCCCTCCTCCCTTCCTCCCTCCT